CTAACAGATACAAAAACACAATATGTACTGTAAACATAATTTTGACAAGACTATAGGACATATTATACATTAAATAATATACTGTATGTTTATATGTTAAAGTATTATTATGATATACTAATGATAATATTAATGATTGGTAAGATCTATATTTAATGAAACATAGATTATCCTACAACAATTTCAACATTTCTATAATAACTTCATCTGCTGGTGAAGACCAGGAGACACAGAAAACAGGAGATTGTTTGGTCAGCTGCTATTTCCCAGAGGAAGAATGAGCTGTCCAGCTCAGTAGCCTGTATGATGTGGAAAGTAAAAAAGTTAATATAGGATATCCACAGTATACCTGAGCTAACACTCTGTTGTACTGTCCATGTTATTTTAAAGAAACTGGCAAGAGTTAGTTACATCCAATTACCTTTCAAAAAGTTACACAATACTCCAGTATGTTGGCTGAACTACCCAATAAAGTCTCTTTAGGTAGACAGGATTCATTCATCTAAATTGCATGACTAAAGTCAATTCTGAAACACATATCTATCATACATTTTTTAAAGTAACGTATTCTTTTACCAAAGTTTGGCAGGTCTTTTAATACATCAGTCAACTTTCCAAAACCTATTTCTGGAAGCATTGGTTCTGCTTGTGATGTTGCAGAAATGCCCTGGTTACTTACTGTGTTGCTTTTGATTGGCCAAGACTATTATGGAAGCCCACAGATGTCAGTGAAATAATTGTAAAGCATTTCACATTCACTGATATCTAATTGGATGAGAAAAACAGACATTAAAAAAATTATTTTAGTAACGTATTAGCCCCTAACTAAATAGATTAAATCATAAAGTTATTCATTCATTGATATTTTAATAAGAAATAAAAGATTTTTTAATAGAATTTCCAAATTCAATAGTTTTCCATCAATAAATTGTTCAAATTAAAAATGCACTGGGCACCATAGACAGCTGAGTGGTTTGAGTGGGGGCCTGTGCATTGATGCACATTGATGTGTGCAACGTCTGGTTTGAAAGGCCCTGCAGACATGTCCTTTGTTGTCTCTACTGTGCTAACAATAAAGATTAAACAACATAAAACAGTTTATGAGTACACCATTTCAAAATACATGAGTGAATGTTCAAAATAAATGATGGAATTTGAAAATAGATTTTTTTTTTTTTTTTTTACATTTCTATTGTGCATTTTCTTTGCCATTGTTCCTGTTAGCCTCTATATTTAGGTAGCATTTCCTTGACAGGTAAAACAAGCAATGCAAACTGGTTTTGTCACATGAATGTCACTTTTGGCTTTTTCCCGTCAGGAGTCACCACACTGACGATTCACATGTTGACATTTAACGTGTTTTATGTCGAATGCCCTTCCTGACGCAGCCCTGACTCAAACCTGGGCCGCAGCGACGACAGTGCGGCACCCTAACCACTAGTCTATCAGGGAATTTTGTCACATACCTTATTTCATTCAAAATGAGACAATGATGGAGATTACAGTGCCTGACTGCACTCACAGTCACACTGGCTGAACAGTCAAGCAACTGTAGGCTCTGTTTTTACATTTTCTGCCCAGTATAGGACAATACAGATGGATGACAATCTTAAACATACAGCCCAAGTTCAGCTTGTAATTGAGGCCTGGGAGAGCATCAGCAGGGAAGATACCAAATTGCTTCTTATGTCTACAGATCATAGACCTCAAACTATCAATGAAGGAGAGTCTTTGACCCCAAATATTCAAACTCCTAACCTACGTTTATCTACACTGTTCTTGTAAGGAAAAAAGTGCCAAACTACAGTAACTGTTCGCTCCAGTTTCATTACAATGACACTGAAATACTGGTTCCTGCTGCAGAACCTAGCATACATACGGTTTATGATAGGCCGAATATGTTTCCTTCTGGAAAGAAAATATGACTTTATTCCCTGGCAACAGCACTCAAAGGTGCTCACTGAGTATACCTCCTGCTTTATTGATTATTTAGACCATGAATGATCATTGATCGGGTTGAAGATAGCCATGGTGATGCTGAATAATTCAGGAAATAAGCAGAGCAAAGTGCTTTGTAGCTAAGGCTAATACATTAACATTTATGAAACTGGGCTCCAAGAGCAAAGCAAGACAAAGTCACAAAATAAACAGTAATGCTGTTTGTGTGTGTGTTTACATATGTGTGTTTTATGTTCTTGGTAAGTCACAGAAGGTCTGGCCTGTCTGAGGGCGGCCCTCCCAGCTCAGTGTGAAAGATACGGGGGTGGCACTGCCGCACAGCCTGAGAGGATACGTTGTCTGAGGTCTGAGATGGAGGGAGGGAGGATGGGAAATAGAGAGAGAGAGAGAGAGAGATCCACACATGCAAGCAGCTGGGGAGCTCCTGATAGAGTGAGGGGGAACAAAGGAAGAGTGAGGAGAGGAAGGGAGGGAGATAAGCGCCTTAGAGGGTGGGAAAGATAACAACAGATAGGGAAAGCAGTATGGAGGCCGAAAGTGAGTGAGTAAGACAGACACAGGAAGAGAAGGAGAGCGAGAGGCTGAATTTAATAAATTAGATCAGGCACCTTGCTGGTTTCCTAGCAACCCAGACAAGACGAGCCTGGTCTGGCCTGGTCTGTGCTCCAGAATAAAGGTCCTTCTCCTCCACCTCTTCTTGCATCTTCCTCTGCCTTTCTCCTCCTCCTCCTCCTCCATGCACTCATATCAGCACTGGACACAATTGCTATCCCAGTCATTGATGCCATTAATGTACAACTGAGAGGAAACAGGCTTGGTTGTTTCCTCTGGAAGACATCACTGCATACTCTTTTCAAAAATCAAATTACTCATTTATCCTTGTAAGCCTTTAGTGCACTACTTTTTAGTTTAACCTCTACATCCTAAAATTCCAACTGTATGACCAAAAGTCAAACACTGTTCCCCTGCACCTCTGCCTGCAGAAAAAGGAAGAGAAGATTCACATGCAATGTATATGGCTGCTCCTACATTTTTGGGGGTCTATTTCCAAGGCATGACAAGGTTTTGATTCTTGGTTACCCCACTCATATACTGTATACGGTAAATCAATAAGCTGATAGGTTTCTGGAAATGTTCAACCACCAAACCTGGCCAAGGTGACAAAACATAAGCCACCAACTCACTCAGTACATCTCAAAAAATAGATGTCAAAGAACATAGTACATAATATTCAGTGTAGTGGACTGCATGAAAGGAAAACATGTTACTGAAGTCCTTCTACCTAAGGATGAATAGAATTGTGTCATTTCAAAGTAAGTAAAAAATTAGCCAGTGCAACAAGATCAGTTTAACCTGTTTCCAGAATGTGCCATAGTTATACACTGCAGTAGTAAAACAGTTCTCTAGACAGGCTGAATTACATTGGAAACAGGTTGAAATAATTTTAATACAGGTCATTTTCACACCATATTATGAAACCTGACATATAACATGGCACAATAACTGATAAAAAGACCTTGTGATTTCCTGCAGTTCACTTAGTGTGGTTAGGCTGTGCGTACTGTGCAACAAGCTTAGAAAGATAAAAATGGCGTGCATGTTCATATTAGATTCATGTTCTCCAGTGGGGGGCTCATGTGAGTCACAGCACAGCAAACCAGGGCACGCCCATAGCTCAGATCAATGCTTACAGAAGCTGTTTGACAGCTGTCTGCTAGAGAAGCTTCAAGGCGTGACACAGCAAAAGAGACCATTGCTAAATGGCTGAAGCTGCAGCGCTTTGCTCTGCTCTCTCAATGGCACCGTCTCTGCTCACTGCTGGACCTCTGTGCCTGGTCACTTACTACCTCAGAGGCTCAGTGGCCTTCATTTGGACCTGGTTTTCTGATTATGTTGCACCTTCCATCTGATTTGAGCAATCCTGTCACTGATCAGTCAGTGAAGTGACTCACAGGTCTGTAGCGGCGCCACCTTGCTATGTTGTGATTAATGATCTCATGTCAGAGGAAGGATGGCATTACTGTAGCTTTACAGTGTATACCCTCAGGTGTGCTCCAAGTTAATTGCTTGATATCCAACTAATGCTGCTGATAAACCACCAAGGAAAACTTTGGTTTCACAGTCCCAGTGGGTGGGGCTGCATTTCTACATCAAATAAGCAGTCAACTGAGCCTCCAAATAAATTCTCACTATGAGGCTGACACCTTGTGCCATGTAATACTCGTATACAGATGCATAGTCATGATGAAACTTTCATGAAATTAATGAGATTTCTTCTGTTTTCAAGGCTAATCAACAGCTATTGTACCACTGAGAGGAAAACTTCATTACATCCACCTCAATCATTCTCCAAACAGCTGAGTAGGACAAAAGTGCCTCCACTGGCTTATGCAGTACGACTTAAAAATACTTTCATGAGCTTGCATATTTCCCCTGTAACGATCAGAGAGCAGGCAGAATACAAACAGATCGGATGTCTTTTACAATCGATATTTGTGTTAATGTTGATTCCGGATCTAAGGATGGAAACAGAACAGGGAAAAAAGCCAATGCCTGACAAATTCTGTCCATCTAATACTCCCTCTGTCAGGCAGTGTGCACTCGTGGCTGTCCTCAGACACCCTTTCATAATGTCCAGTTTGTAGTTTCATCTCAGTTTGTTTTCTTTTAAAATTATATTTTAAAAAAATGAGGAAATGAGCAGAGGCATTAGTGCAAAACATGAGAGATCACAGACTCCACATCTCCTCATCTACATGTGAGTGCCCTCTAGTGGCTGTGGAGGGAAACTATGGAGGCCCTTTGCTCAACACACATAGGAATCATTTCTCTCACTGGCAGATGGTTGACAGCTCCAGAAATGATAAGGAGAGCTGGAGGAAAAATATTGATTCATCTGTCACTTTTCCCCATTAAAATGAAAAGCAAAAGAGGGAGAGAAGCAGAATGAAAGTGTTGCAAACGTAAGTCGGAGCTGCATTATTCATGTGTGACAGAAGACGGAAGCAAATGGGCCGTGATTACAGTATAACAAACATTTTATTTATGTTTACACTTAAAATGTGGTAGGAATGGAGAGATCACAGGGGAGGACATTTTTTTGGGAGTAAAATAATTTGCACAATTTCACTCAATTTACAAAAGACAAGATGTCTTCGGTCATCTGACCTTGATCTGTGTCAAAAATCACAGTGTAGCTGCCTTTTAACCAGCAAACGTAGGTGATTCTCTTTAAAGTAATTAGCATTAGACCTAGAAATGCAGAACATGTCCAAGTTCATATTTATTTATAGTGTATGCACACTTTAGACTAGAGTCGATCATACTCTACTATAGACCATATATGGACTGCTTTATAAGCAGCAGTCTAAAACGTGCAAATGCTGTGCACCAGTGCCATAGACTGGAGCTAAATTGGGTTTCCTCACAAACATTCACAACCCATGCAGCTAAAGTAAACCGAGTTAGAAAGCAAAGCCAAAACCAGCACTTCAGACAGACGCTATAGAACAGATTATTACTGGCAGCAGATCAGCTTCCTGGTGCTGACGCACCACCATTGTATACTGGGAGTATACTTCCTGTCATCATATGAAAAAAACCACAAAGCACAGGCTGCGCACCATACAGGAAATACCACATGACACTGTAACTGAGCTTTATGAAGGTAGTGGCGCAGATATGATCTGATATCATTTTAGGTGAAATTGGTATGGTATAAATAATTATATATACAAGTATATTATAAAATTTGATTCCTAACATTTTACATGTAACTATTTTTTTTACCAAATATATTAAAATATCAGTTTAATGTTGAAAAATTCTCACATGATTACATAATAAACAGACAACAGTAACGACTAACGGCCACATATGTGCAATAATGTACATTCACTGAATACTAACACTGTGTGGCTGGTTGTGTGTTCAGCTGAATATCTGAATTTGCCTCCTTTCTTTGTTTTTCCACTGCATTTGGAAAAGGCAGTTCTGAGAAGATAACTAATGTGAGAATAATTAGCCAAGAAGCTATAGCACCACTTATATATTTGCATGTGTGTCCCACAGAACCAATGTTTAAAAAAACAACAACCAGAAACTGTTGTTAGACAACATTAAATTTATCAGTGTATCATCTTAAATCCCATATTCAACATGTTTCTAAAAAAAAGTGATTGAATCACTAGTCAGCTGACATAACAGGGGAACATCAGCATGTCATGACATACGAGTCAAACTGATCACTGCTCCTTTTTTAGTGTTTTATGCACAAACACTCCTTATTCCTGCTTTGAGAAAAGTAGGATCTGTGGTTCCACCAATTATTGGTGCTCCCCTTTTAGTAACCCAGCTCGTCCTGGCTTTAGTCCACTTCATCACACACTTGCAAAACTCGGTGGTTGAAGTCCTCTGGGTGGTCAGCGTACACATAGTGTCCGGCTCCACGGATTGTCTACAGGGACAGAAACAGATTATTCAAAACAGGAGGCAATATACAAGAGGTAAAGAAAAAAAACTGCTTGTCTTTGAATTACTGAAAACAACAATGAAAAAAAGTTCAATATGCAAAAAGTGAAAGAAATGTTTTACTGTGGATTGTAAGAAACTGGAAATACCGTGCTTGTGGGAAAGTTCATTTATATACAAAGTTTTTATATGATGAAGAAGGGAAAAGTGGATAATAACAAATCCAGGATAAGGCACTGGAGCAGAGGTGATCGATTTATTTGACCTTACATTACTGACTGTACATGGTCCACTTTTCATGGGCTTGCAGCCTGACCTTGCTGTCTTCATTGGCACATGCACAATAATTTATTGTCAATATAAGATATAAGATAAGATAAAGTTGAAAGCTCTACAAAAAGCAAGTAAGTGGAGCTTTGAGTTGAGCCAAATTTCATACAATGCATGAAAGTATATCAAATAAGAAACACAAAAATGCTGCATTAATAATGTGTTTCAGGACACCATGCACCAAAAGAGCTGGTACAATCATTGGTTGAAATGCTACTTGAATTACTACTTTCCTTGGACTGCCTGCCATAAATTAAATATTTCAAAGTAAACACCAATAATTAATCAAAATAATTATGTACATCTAAATTTTAGCAGGGGAAAGGTCCAATATAACACACATACAACAATATGCACAACCATTAATGTATTTATTGTATTGATCAGAACGAGGCTGTATTTATTATTGGGAAAGATAAATTAAAATCCACTGTGCAGTATATTACTGTTCTACCTGTGATCATACTAGTGAATTCTCACCAAAGTGTTTACATATCAAAGAATAGACACATTCTCCAGACATCATTAATGAAAATGGATGTGCAGTTCAGCTGTGTGTCCCTCAGTTCTCACGAAGAACATTTAGAAATGGCTGCATGGAGCATCATACTGTTTCCCTGCCACTGGTTGCAGAAATTAACTTCAAGTCCACTATATATATATGATCAATACAATAAATACATTACTACACTATTTTACATTAAAATCAAAACTACTATACCGCTCTAGTTTCTACTAATTGACAAGTAAAAGTAGAGGGGGTTAAAGTTCAGAAATCTGTTAAGCCCAACATGAACTGATACAGAAACATGGTAAGAAAAACTCCTGATAAAATAAAGAATAATGTGTCTGACTTCACTTCATCCCCTCTCATCCACTACACGCTGAACTTACTATGATTTCCACATGGGAGTGGGGTCTCATCTCTTTGATGGTGCTGCCGGAGTTGCTGTCTATGCTGGAACGGGAGCCATAGATGATGGTGAGAGGGATCTCAGATTGCAGCTGGTCCAGCCTCTGCAGCATCGGTCTCTTAGCCCAGCCGTAGGGGATGGTCATATTCTTAAAAGCTGTTTCCCCGCTGTGGAAATAGAGAATAATGCACATGACCAAATGTTGGCGACAAGACATAATATTGAGGAGTAAACCTCAAATGGCTGCAACAAAGGCAATGAATAATGCTGTTATTGCAGGCTCGGGAGGGAAACAGAGACAGACACAGTGAGAGACGGACCTTGGTGTCTGAACGTTCAGGTGGTAGATGTACTCTGACACAGTGTTGTCACTGAACATGGAGGAGAACTTCTTCTTGAAGTCAGGTCTCAGAGTCTGGACCAGAGTGGGACCTGCAGGGGCCACAGAGCAGACACTGAATTGTCAAAACCAGGCATGCGGCCATTCATTCAGCTGCTTCATTAAATGATACATGGTTATAAACAAAGAGGAGGGTTAGAGGGTCTGACTTCAATTCTCTTCAAAATCTGGAGCGAAACATGAAAAAAAAATCTGCTTTAGTGGAACATGTGCAATCACATGATGATCATATTGCTAGATTTAATTTGTAGCCCAGCCATTTTTAATCCAGACTTATGGCCAGCACCATAATAAGCATATTTTCCATTCAATTATGCTGCATACATAGTGCAAGCATTTCCTCTTACATGCTTCAAATGTTCCAAAATAATTTCATCCCATTCAGATTCCTCTAATTTACATATTCCTCATTTATACAGTATACCTCCATAACAAAATGTATTAATGCAACTGTCAGTTCAGTTATGCTTGATACAATTCCATCTACTGGCTTTATAGCTATTTTTTTCCTCTGTATCATGGTGCACCACTGCAACTACCCAATTTCCTCCCAGGAATCATTAGGATTTCATCTAATCTAACTGACAGAAACATCAGCACTCCTGCTCCGATATCTTTTACCAAGTAATGGCTCCAGTCTTACCCAATGGTCCGATGAGTCGCAGGCCAGCCAGGGGGTTGAATGGACTGAACATGGCCCCGAGGGCTTTGATCCACACTGGGATGGGACGATCGTCCTCTACTGTGTCTGGCCGCTTAGGAAAACCCCACGGCTCAACCAGGATTATGTGCTTTACTCTGCAGGTCAGATACAAAGAAGCAAGCATTTCAGTTCACCTGCTTTTGAAGTTATCTAATGTTTCATATGTATACATTCATATGTATATCGTAAACTTCAACATTTTGGGACGTATTATTATTTGCTTTCTTGTTAAGAGTCAAATGACAAGTTTGATACCCTTGTCATGTCTGTCTGGTAAATATAAAGCTAACACCAGTAGCCAGATGGTGCAACTTAGCATAAAGGCTGGAAACAGGTGTAAACAGCTAGCCAGCACCTCTAAAGCTCACCATGTGGTTTTATTTATTAATTGACATGTTATATCGTTTGCTTAATCCATCCAAAAACTAAAGTGTAAAAATGACACTTGGTCTTTTCCAGAGCCGTTAACCTGTCGGTGTATTCTGAAACAGATTCAGATTTAATTTTAGAGGAAGAAATACTGTGTGGACACGAATGCTCTCTGGTGTAGCTGAAATAAACCTGGGACAAAGAGAAGCTGTCCAAGAGTTAGCTATAATGCTCATTTTCATCTGATGTTAATTTAGGTCTTGGCTGGGTGAAGTCAGTGCAACCTCAGCTTCATCTTGAAAACATTACAGTAAGTCCACATCCTCCTGAGGATGCGGGCAAACCATCCTAGACTCAAGCAAGTGTGGGCAGTCCTGGCTCTGGCTTTATTATTAACAAACAGATAATTTTTAAGATTTTTTTGGTTTGTATCGTTTTGGCCTTCTGTCACATACAGTAAGATATAATATGAGGACCCAACTTTCCAACTAGTAATGCAGACATACAGATGGTCAGAGAGCTGGTTAAAACCCTCCGGGCTAATCCAGTTACTGTGTGTGAGCTGTCACTTTCTGACCAAAAACAAGTGTCAACAAAGCAGAATTATCCATTATAAGCACATTTTGCTTTGTAAATTGATGTTCTGTCACAAGAGACATATTTTATATACGGTAACTTTTATAACGCTTTACTTCCAATTTCACTTTGAAGAAGGTGGTTTTGACATTAGAGTTAAACTAGATTACCCCCCTGCCTGATCTGGTGTTGCTGCGCTGTTGGACTCTGTACGAGTACAGAAAGTGCATCTACCACGTTACTGTATTTTTACAGCTGATCTGGAAAGTAAAATGTTTTCTAACCAAAAGAAATGGCCAAAATAATGAGAAAGGAAGTAAAACAATGAAATAAACTATTTTTAAAATGAAAGACATTTATATTTTAAACCTGCTTTGATCAATCTTTTCATGTTAACAATGGATAACAAGAGTTGCTTGTGGCTGTCTCCTGAAAAAGGGTGCTGATATAAATTTCCCATTACACTCCCCTCCTCGATGTCACTGGGCTCCTACCGTAGTTACTTTGGTGAATACGCCGCTATCATATCTAATATGAATAACAGCTAAAGCTATGAAAACAACTTGGTCTTTACTTGTACTTTAAAAATGAATGAATACCAGTAAATTCATCTTCAGTTAACCCTACAGTACATGCACTGAGTGATAGACAAGGAATACTGCAGTATGGAAAAACTAGCCATAGCCACACATCAGAAACCACATATGACAGCCCCACCACTCTGTCCAACATTACACACATTTATACAGGTTCTTTTAGGAGCTCAGTGTGTAATCTAGTATGTCTTGATACAAGTAAACAATGAGCTTTCTCTTCAAGCCATAGCATGAATGATGAACACAGTTCAGCTTAAATGAGCACATATGTCCCTGATCAAGAGCATCTTGTGTTATAACTTAAAGGCCATTTGGAACAGAGATAATAATAAGAGGATAGGAAGAGGGAATTTTTTTAGCATTACTCATGAAGGAAGGTGATAAGCGATTGAAGACGTTTTATCAGGCGTCCCTCTGGTAGAGCCGGGTGCCTGCTGAGAGCTCAGAGCTGGAGACGCAGCGAGAGGAGATGATTCGGGAAAGATAGAGTCTAGTCGGGGGAGAGTGGCTTGGAGGACATTGCTGTTATCACAGGGTGCCGGCACTTACAGACACACTGCTGCCATTATATTCTGTATAGATGCCGGCATGCTTTACTACAGTCATGTTAGCACTAAAAGGGCAGAATTATTATTCAAAACACTGTTCAATGCTGATTCAGTTTTTGGTCATATGAGCAGGGTCTGCTTCATTTGTTCTTCTTCCCCTCAGCAGTAACAACTGGTTATTAAACCTTGGGTCTCCACTTAAGGTCCTGTACTGAAGCTTTCGACCATATCATGTCTTTCTTTAGCAGATTAAACCTGTAATTGTTTTGGTCCAGTTGTGAACGCAGCTTTGCTATATCACAACCTTGTTAGAACAGGATGAACTTGGTAGCAAACAGTTGCTTATTTACACATGCAGCAGTTATGGGGTAAACACCAGAATGACTGTTTCTAGCCCTAACTCTCTTTTTGGTCTCCTTCACCTCAGAGAAATATCAGAGCTCTTTAGATGTTTAGAGGTGTTTTCTGAAAACAGCTGCAGCAGGCAGATGAAAGCGACACTGAGAATGGGGAGAATAAACCAAGACAGTAAAGCTGCAGCCAGAGAGCTAAGCAACAAGTTGGAACTCACTCTAAAGCTCCATAAAGGCAGCAGTGCTGCAGATTCAGGTGATAATTCTCTGGCGTCACTCATCATGACCAGTGACGCCTTTCATACTGTAATTTGATAGTGTTTTAGAAAAATATTGACTGTAGTTGCTCTACGTTCACTGCAGTTGTTATACAAGGGCATTTTGGTACACGTGTTCATAATAAAGGGCCTACATTATCGACTGCATTACACTATAAAGGCTAATGTAATCAAGTCAAATGTTATTTGCATAACCCAATATCACAAAGTTGCCTCAGGTGTAACAACGCCATCCTGTGGTCATAGTCATGTCTAAATCAAAGAATGAATAATGCAAAAAAAAAAAAACTCACTGAAACAAAACAGGGTTTAACCTTTTCCACATGCCTTTTAGAATCTTTGCACCTGAAATTATATATTAATCACTTTGTTAATACTTGTTCTGATCGGTAATTGTTCAAGTTATAGTTGTGGGAACTTCTAACATTTTAAAAATCTTTCTGTGATAATTACATTATACAATTATAACTACACAACATTAGTTTTCTCTCTGTAACCACCAACTACATCTAACAAGATGAGCTCCTATAATACATAATGTATAATACACTTGTCTATAAGATTGAACAGGACTGACTCCAGGGAACAAGACCTGACTCCAACTAAAATATCATAAAGATCTGTCATCCACCTCTTAAAGTCAATCAAAAAGTTGAATTTACTGAATGACTCAGACTGAACTGTAGCCGCTTTACCCCTGGTACTAATGTTTATCACACCTAATGCAGTTCATATCAACAAAATTGGCAGCGAAGGATAAAATATCCTTATAAATGAAAAAAAAAAACAATACAACCCTACACTAGGATAAAGAGAAATCCCATAATCTGCACCCACCTGCCTGGGTATTTAATAGCGTACGACACAACAAGGTATCCTCCCAGGTTGTGGCCCAGCAGTATCATGGACTCCAGGCCCACTTTAGCCCTCCACTGCTCTATAGACTCCACAAACTGGTCCTCTGCCTCCTGAGCATCTGAGGAGAATGAGGGTCTGCTGCTCTGACCAAAGCCCAGCAGGTCCAGGGCGAAAACAGGCCGATGCTGAGAGAGGGCATCCAGATTTTGAGCCCAAAGGCCCACGCCACATCCAAATCCATGGAGCAGAACCACAGGGGTTTTTTCTCTGACACTGTCACTGCTAAAAGTCAGGGTCCACAGCAGGTTGCCGTGGGAGATGGGGACATACTGTCTAGAGAAAGCACTGTTCACATCTGGCAAGACAGGGGAGAAAGAAATGAGAGAGTATGGTGAATAAGAAAAGTAAAACCAATTTTGCGATTGTTTGGTTTCTTCTTTTCCCTGAAAGAGGAAAATCAACTGAACTCCCACAACACAACACCCATACAATATGTGGTACAGATGACTATTATAGAAGAAGGTAGGACTGATCCTTACATCTCAGCATCATGTCCTCTGCAGTCTGTAGCTGGCTCTGAGAGGTGGGACACCATGATGGCAGCCAGTTGGGGATCCAGCACCACCTACACACACCAAAACTCAATCACCAGGTTTATAAGCATCCTCTGCACAAACTACAGAGCAGACATAGTGTCCCAGCTCAGTGTGGGATGCATGAAGGATTTAAAGAGAAGCAGAAATAAAGCAGCACAAGGGCACAAATTATAAAAGTATATTAAACAATATTAACACAGCACATGATATCATAATGGCTGAATGATAGCATTTACTGTGTTTAAGAGCCTCACATCTGATGAGCAGCATGTTGTCGCTGTTTAGTGGTGGTTTCTCTGTGCAAAGCAGAGAGTACATCTTTAATGCCATAGACAGCTCTGCTGGAGCAGTGCGGTTTAGAGGTAAAGAATATTTGTCTTTTACTGTGTTAGTTCATCAGGCAGCAGAATTGTGAAACCCCAGTAATACAGTGTGCAGATGTCGAAATAAAGTCCCTGCAGAGGAAACACATGAAGAAATAACAGACATCCAACTACTGTAGGAAGGCCACCAGGTCCTGCCATTCCATTTACATCATTCCATGATGTCCAGTCTACAGACTTCTGTAAAACCAGTTTACACCAAATAGTATTTTCTATTCATTCCTTATTCACTCCATGTATAACTCTCTTAGTCCCCAACCTTTAAACCATACATGAAATTCTCTTTTTCATAAACAGATCCCACATGCTCCTCATCATCATGTCTTTAAACTCAGAGCCAGGCGGCCCTGTATGCTCACCACGCAGGTTGCGAAGGGCCCCGCAAACTACATGAGGCCCCGCCTGCCCCTCGTGTCAATAATATATAAACTGCAGCTTGGAACAGATAACTGCGTTGCACTCGAACATGCATTTGTACATGTGTGCACTAAGCTTTCCTGCAAACTCTGTGGGGGCCAGTCCAGACAATACATGGACGTGATGGATCATCAGCCAGTACAAGCACAGAGTCAGCTGATCCACATTCGGCCTCATCCAGGACTAACACAGACCATCTTAGGATTCTTTACAAATCACTCTATTCAGCAAATACTGTTTGTATGTGCAGGACCTCATTCTGTTCTGCATAGGTCTACTTATTCTAAGACAGATAAAACAATCAGTTTTAAAGAAGGGAGCATGGGGTGTCAGGTGTGACTATGTGGCAAATGGCTTACATGGCTCAGGGGTCAGGGGTCAGGTATGAGGCCCCTTCACAGAATTTTGCTTAGGGTGTCTGGGAGCTCTGTTTAAACTCCACCACCATCAGCATCTCTTCATGGACCCATCATCTCATCTAATGCATATAAACTCACCCACACCTTCACACATCAAACATGAAACATCTGAGCAAATGCTTGTATTCCACATTTAACATGTATTGCCTTGTGTGATGACTGTTATGATCATAAAAAGATCATTATTGTTTAAATGCGCATGTTATCGGTTCTGTACCACAAACAAATTCTTTGTGTGTGTAACATACTTGGCCAAATAAAGTGATTATCCTTAACAAAGTATAAAAACAATAATTCAGTGCAGGTAGTAGCCAGTCAGGTTCAGAAAACCATTTTTAAAGGGCTGACTCTGTGCATGAAAGCATTGCCACAAAGAGTAAAGGAGTAGACCAAACAATGTGAACAGGGCTTTCTGCATTTTTATATATTGCAACTTCTGTCTCGCTCCTATTCTCAGTTTGTACTCATTGCACAGCCAGGCAGGCTGTTCTACTGTCTCTGTTGTGACTCTGCTCTGACCCCCTGAGTCATCCCAGTGCAACAAATCTTCCAACCTATATAACCCATGTGGTCATTTGTCCCTTCCCTCTCATGTGACCCTTAGAGGCATCTCATTAAATAGCACTCCTACGGTCATGGGAGGTAAAATAGTAAATGGACTGCACTTATATAGCCCTCTTCTACTGTACCTGGATAAAGCACTTTACAGATTCACCCTTCCACCTGTTCACATATCAATGGTGGCAGAGGTACTGCAACAATTCCGCCAACATCACCAACAATGTATGTCACACTACCAAGCTTTATGGGCCTTTATCATTATGGAAACAGCCATAAACACAATGGCCAGCTAGCAGTAAGCTACTGGAAATCCATCATCTTGGAAATAGTCATAAATATGAAGCTAGAATTATGAAACTGTCACGGTTTCGTTATGGCTTGCCACACAAAACACTTGGTTAATATTTCTTGTGTGTATAACATGCTTAGCCAAATAAAGGTGATTATCCAGACAGCACAACATCACGACCAGTACACTTGTCAGCTGACTGGTGTTTCTAATATTCCATCTATCCTCACCGACATAAGTGGGCTGGACAACATATTAAAACACTTTACAGTACAATGCAATAGAATGTGACAGCATTACAGTACAGTAGGTTCACCTAGTAATGTATGAAATGTGCTAGATAACTAAAGCAGCCTCGCCCTGCCTAATAATGTGCTGAGTGCATTTAAAATGTCTGCCAGTTGTTTGCTCCATAAAACTAAATGCATGATAAACAAGGCGTTTTCCTTGTGCAAGTAGCAGAACCAAACAAAATCACGTTTCTGCAGAGTGAAGCTCAAACATTCAAGTGCAGTAGCGCTATAGCAAGAAAAGCCCATTTCAGAGTGGAGGGGGACTTTAAAGTTCATCTCCAACAATGCTGCCTCTTTGATTTTAAAGGGCTACACCAGGGCTGGCTGGGTGTGCGTCGGAGGCCAGACTTACCTTATTGTGGTGTCCACGTAGCCCCACACGCTGCTAACCAGACTGTGGATGCCGACAACAGACGCTAATCTCTGAACAATGCTGAGGAACGAAATGAAACAAAACTGGATGAGGGCAAAGAACACTGACTGACTGCTGGAAGGTAGTTATCGGTTTCTGCTACAGTGAACCGTCAGCATAGAGCAAATTTATCAGAAAGATACACGAATCCTCAAAGTTAACAAATTCATGTTCTTTAGATTGTGTTGTATCCCGTAAACCATCATTTATGACACATAAAATGTGCAAACTCACAGTCAGCCATATGTAACGACATGTTTGTCCTTCAGTGTGCTATAAAAACCCCAGGGCATGTTGGAGGTCGTCTATAGTGTTTACATAAACTTCACCAGTAGTGCCTGACTATGTGAGTGTATGACAAAAACATGCAGGTCACTTCCCAAGTAACATAGTTCTATTGGAATACCTACTTATATCACATACTGTATATCGCTTGCACTGCTGTCTCGTAACATATATCTCTTAAAAAAAAAATAAGACATAAGGTGGTTTTAAAATTAGAAATGCTCACCCTCTATTCAGCGTCCTCACTTCCTCTGCCATCCTGCAACAGCTCTTTGATGCCTCTCGCGGTCACGTGGCTCGAGAAACTGACGTACAGTGATAAGGTTGAAGGCGCTTGATTTATTATTTGGGGTAACTCCACCGAGCGGCACCTCTACTGCTGCACTCCACTGGCACCAGCAAGTCGCTTCCGTCCCCGCTCATCGAAGCGTTTCTTGTCTTAAATACAAACAAGCGTACGCAGCAACGGAGAGTGAGGAAATACGGATGTGCCAAATATTAGAGGTGGGCGATACTGTAAAATTTGGTATCGATCCGATACCAAGTAAATACAGGGCCAATATCACCGATACCGATACCGATACCGATATTTTTTTTAAAGCACACAATATAAATTACATTCACTTTCTTGTATAGGGGATATCAGTGTTTAACTTCAAATTTATGAAGTGATTGCATAATTATTATGCTAAATCTGAATGCATTTTCATAACCATTAAAAGATGTTGTGATTTGCTCTTAGTGTGCCTGTAATTAGTCATGTGTCAGGTAAAAAAAACCAGGACATATTTCAAATATGAAAACAATATATTATTATAATAAACTCAATTTGCAAACATGAACTGTGCATGAAATTATCGAGAATAGTAATAGCATTAAGAACAGAAAAACAGAATAATACTATAAATTAAAATACATTAAAGAATAATATAGTAACAAAACAAAATTCTCCCTTTAACAGTACTTAACTGGCTTTAACAAAACATAAAGTGCACTAAATTATTACTAGAAAACAAAGCAGCTGTTTTGTTAAGACTCACTAATATAACAGATTAAATAATTTCCCTTTTCGCACACTGTCTTCGCTTATAAACAAAGTGCACACAATTGTTTGTGAAAAAATAAAGTGATTAAAGTGCAAATAACTAAACAAAAATACCAAGCAAAATTCCTAAAACCCTCATCTTCAACGACAGAGAGAGTGGTTGCGGGTCCTTTGCGATCATTTCAGCAAGGCTCCTTGTAATATTTATAGCTCTTGGGGAATCACCTTAATAAATTTTAGTCTGTATAGCCTATCCACATGTAGCTTAAAAAAGGAATCCTATAGTGTCCCTTTCATGGTTGTTCAGGAATGTTCAGCCATTTTAATTTAATTTTTCAGGTTTGATGTATATATTTTTTCAGGTAACACTTTACACTAAGGTTCATTAGTAAACATTAGTTAACAGTATTAGTTGAACTAAGCATGAACAATACTTCTACTGCATTTATCCATCTTACTTATACTAATACATTATTTAAAATTTAAAGTTTTATTTGTTAACATGCACTGTGACTAACATGAACAATCAATGAATAACTGTATTTAAAGGAAAGGACGTGACCGGTGACCAAGTATAGTGTCCCATACTCGGACACCATACAAAAACATATTTTCACCGATGTTAGCTACCTGGATATTCTTTGCCTCTCTGAAGCTCAAATGACTCTGCCAGTGACGTCTGTCTCACTGCCGGGGGTCTGTCTGGAGGATTTCCCTCCTCTCTTCTTTGCTTTTGCAGTTCGTTGTTCTCTTTTTCATGTTGTTTAATGTGTTTGTGCAAATTAGTTGTGTTGCCACAGTAGCGAATGGCCTTCTTACATATATCACAATTCGCTGTGTTTTCATTAAAGGTTGTAAAATACTTCCACACAACGCTCCTTTTTCTGTCCGCCATGATACCACCTCTCACTCACTGGCACTGCAGCTAAAAGACTCTGCTTGCTTGGATATGGCGCTGCTGAGTCACGTGATGGTAGGACAAGAAACACAGCAAAGCAGGGAGGGGTGAACAATGTGCGTGTGAAAGGAGCTGCATAAGAGATAGAGTTCTATACCCCTACCAAATATCTAAACATAGCTGCTCAGCAGAAGAGAGAGATTTGGTGAGTAACGTTAGCTAAATCACATTTGTAGCTCTCAGTTGAATATCACTCGGGTCTCTTAAAATAGCACAAGGTTATTTCGCTTAGCTTTGGGTAAATCACACAATGTTAGATGTTGTGTAAACCCGTAGTCCTGCGTTGAGTCATCACAAATGAGAGCAACACTTGAAACTTTAAACAGTGTTGCTAAGATTTTATACTTTATCTTCATATATCTTTCTTCTGTTGTTTTATTTTGCATTTGAATGTTTTATGTATGTAGCTTATGCATTTTTTAGGCTAAAGCGCTTGAAGTTGTGCTTGAAAATGTGCTGTTCAAATCAACTTGCTTTGCCTTGTGGTGAAATGGTTCACGTTAAAGGTTTGACCTTTTAAACAACGACGAATCCGCATGTTGTCCAATAATAAAAAGATACGGTTAACACAACGCATGGTTAAAAATGTAAATAGAACATTACTAGAACATATTACATCATTATTAGAAATATAGTGAATTGCAATAGGGGGCTGTCCTTCACTGTTTATTTTGAGTGGTGCGTCCACTGGTGCCCTAATGACCCTACAACTGTTGTTAACACGCCCTCCTCATGATTTAAATAAACCGAGCTGCCACTTTGACTCAGCTTGTTTATCAAACTTTGACAAATCTCAGGCGCCTTGTTAAAATCATAGCCAGCGCATGTAACAGGGCGTTGGTGGGTGTGGCAGCCGGAGTTTACTGCGCTGTGTCATGACGTGAACGCAACTGAAGTCCTGGGCGCAGCAGCTTTCGCATGCCAAACTACACACACACGTCGTTTACACACTAATCTGACTGTTCACAGATCAGCACGGCCAGCCCCCGCCACGAGGTCGGAACACGGTCGTTTCCTACACAGGCACAGATCCGGGTGAGTACCGAGCAGCCCCCGTACACACAAACGGTGCCAGCAGTGTGAAACCACTAACACGTGTCGCCCCTCCCCTTCCGTGTGCGTGTGAGTCGGTCAGCTGTTTGTGTCAGTACTGTATCTGTCACCTGTTCTGCAGGACGGTTCCCTGCCGTTTAAGTCAGCTCAAGCCCTAGAGACGATAAGGCCGCTTTATTGCTGGCATTTCACTGCATTGACTTGGGTGGAGCAGGTGGTGACACACCTTGTTTAAGCCTGATAGGCAGGATTATTTACTTTGTACAGATGGCTGTCATCTTTCCCTGTTCTGGGCTAAAGTCTTTTTTATTCTAATTATCTGGGCGTTTTACCTTAAAGATATCTGCGTGTAAATGTTGTATCTATATTTTTTAATTTGCACACAATTGCGCTCCCAACTGGGTTGAAAGCAGTTCTTTTCTTTAGGATTTTGTTTATATTTTATGCTTGTAATATACAGTATATTGTATCTTACACTTACACATTTAGTAAATTGCTATACAATCTATTTTATAATTATTGTACATTGTATTTATACTAACATTTGTCCATAAAATTTCCCCCCAGACTCTGTGCAGGAGCACCACAGGACAGTTTCTCTGGTGGTCATTTCTCAGTCATTTCTTGTGCAGGTGCCCTGGGAGGGGGTATGATGCCGTGGGGGCAGTCAGTAGACAGCAGTGGCTGCAGTTTCACTCCTTTGGTGGTGTTGGAGCTAGCCTCTGACACAAAAGAGGAAACCATTGCATGGCTACTGAGCAGGATAAGAGACCAACAAATAAATGGAGGTGTGGCACTTAGAGTTGTCTTTCTCATTTCTAATTTTTTGTTTGTGCTGTTTGCCGTTAATGCACATTCAGTGTTATTAATCCTGTCATTCCTCCAAGGTGCTGAGCTGCTAGTGGAGCAGCTGGGCCCTGGAGTAGGGGCTCAGGAGAAAGAAAACCCCAACATATTCCTGGTGGGGGCATCCTGGCAGAGGCTGCTTTCTGGTGCTGAGGACCTGGGCCTCTTCAAGGAGTCCACTGATGGATCCATGAGGGGCTTCACCTGTGCCACCAAGCACAACTTCGAAGACTTTAAAGGTAAAATCAAGGAGGATACCTGTATGATGGCTGTTGTTTGGCGGCATGTGAGTATTTATAACTTAGAATAAAGTCTTATTATACCATGATGAGGTAAAAGTCCAAATGTAACCAAATCAAATACGCAGAATAGTGGCACAGACAGCAAACATGGTTTTATTTTGTTTATTTAGGGAGTCTGAAGTATGAATCTCTAAAATAGTGACTAACAGAAAATCACTGCAAGTACTGTTTATTATTCAGCAGAAAATGATAATAAAGGTCTTTCTGACATTGCCAGTTCCATTTGAATGTAAGTCTTTGAGTTTTAGTGTTTAAATATTATTTATTATTAAATATATTTGGCCTTTTTCTTAACACTGTCGAAAGCCAAATCCTTATTCCTCCATTAATGGATTTTGAAAGCACACAATTTAAATAACCTGTGATACTTATTCTGTATTTAATATAATGAGTTTGAATGACAGGCTGAAAGAATGGCTCTGGCTTAGTTGTTTGGCCGAACACTAAACTAGCAAGTATTTTGTTAGTTCATCACTTGTTAGAGCCATGTTCTAGCAAAAGCCCTCATCTCAAAAACACTGGAAGGATTTGCTGCTTTTCTGTGTTTTATATCAATGTAAATAAAATGTCTTTGGCTGATGAGAAAAACATACAGTATTTAAAGAGACAAACTATAATGTACACGTTTCACTCACGACAGATTCTTCTTTAGTTGCACTGTACAGTCCAGTTCATAAGTCTCAAGCTCAGAAAGCCACTGCTGTTGAATCCTGGAAAAACCTTTACATTAGTTCAGAATGTAGCTGCTTTCTGGTCATCACAGCTGAAGTACTGCAAGGTGCTGCACAATCAAAAGAGCTGAAAAATGAATTTCCACTTTTAGAAGGGACTGTTGTTGTTGTAACTGACACTGTTTCTGAACTATTGGTCACAGTTTGGAAAGACTGATGTCACCATCACAGCCTCAGAGCTGTTGCTGTATTGCTCTGCCTTTGTTGCAACTGCCACAGTGACTGTGGGTTTGCTGTTTGTCTCTGATCTGCCCTGTGTCTACAGGGGAGGGAGACGGCTTCCTCAGCATGGCTGAGTGTCAGTACATCATTAAACACGAGCTGGAGACATTAAGAGCCAAAGATGAGACTCATGTACCAGGATACACCCAGGCTAAGCTCTACCCCGGCAAATCCATCAGTGAGTGTCACTGCACCTCACACACTGTCAGTTTGAGATTCAGGTGGGCTTTGCTGTGATCAGTTCAGTGATGTTGCTTGATCTGTCAGGTGTATAACTCACTAGTATAGACATACATTATTATTTTATTTATTTTATTTACAAAAAGTCTTAATTGATTTTCCAAAAAATGTTCTGTGCCACAATATGTAGAGATATTTTGGCATAAAATTACACATGCTGTACTTTGACAAGCACTTCATCTTTATTGTATAGGTTAGTTGACTAGAGGAAGTTAATGGTCAACCATGTAGATAAGCAAATATTCAAGTCATTTATCAATTAAAATATGCACAGATGTGTGTGTGTGTGTGTGTGTTCTAAATGGCTGGCTCAGCAGGGTACCAGGAACACATGAAGCATTGAAACTAACAAATACACCCAACGTAATGCAGAGTCTGTGCCACTTGTAAAAGGGAATGAGAAGGCAAATCCACTCAAGCTTTTGAACACCAAGTAATCACATTACACTCAGTTGAGACTTTCAAAGGCCTGGTCACACCGCTGCTTAAAGCTGCAAAATGAGTTAATCAATTAGCAGGCAGCTACAAGTTGGATCAACCAATTGGCAAGCAGAATGTGTAGCTCCACGCAACATGTAATTAGATTTGGGGAGGTGTGCACCTTGGCCCGTCTGACCTATATTTACCCAGAAACCACCTTCACTGCCTACACTCAGTTCTGGACAAGTATAAATGGTGCTTTTGCAGTTTGCTTCATTCATTTTAGTTAGCCTCCTCAGAGTATAACACGTTCCATAAAAGAAGAATGATTTGCAGACGGTTAGTTATAGCTGCATTAGATGACAGAAAATAGCTTTAGTAGTTTTTATTCCCCCAGCAGAAATGCCAAAAATTTGCATGTCAAATGTGAGGATTTGAAGCTATTCTATCATATCAAAGTAAACAAATCTTTTACATAGGTGAACTAAACAATTAAACATGTAAAAGAGGTCAGCTTGGGCTGTAGCAATATCTCTATAACCAGCAATAAAGGTTTACAGTTTACACTGAGCTACTCTGGTCTGACGGCGAGTCCATCCAGACCCAGCCCACACCTCGTATTAGGAATGCAATGATACAATGTAATGAAGTTTGAGTCCTGCTAAAAAAAAAAAAAAGTTTTATACTCAAACTGTTAGCTTTGTAGAATAGAGTCTATTTGGAGATCGTCACAATCGTTTCTCTGTTTGACATCGTTGTCACGGCAACATTGACAGTAGGGGAGTGTATGACGTTTAATGTCAACAAGTGACAGAGCTCACGGCACTCATTCAAAATTAGTGAGTTAGCTAGCAGCTAACAGGCATTCACGTTCTGTCCTGGGGGCACGAGAAAGCGAGTCTTTGGCATCCTGTGTCAGTATCATTATGTCACCAGTGTGGTAATGATGTCAATATCCAAATGTGCAAAGAAAAGAAGGTTTGGCCAAGAAAACTGAGTTTTAAAAGATGAGTGGACAGAGAAATGTGCCCCAATCCAGCACAAGGCCCTTGAATGGTAACACTAACAAATTAAATGTCGTACAAATCAGAACAAAATACTACACAGGGGTAAACTGCAAAATGGAAAGACACTTGGAGATCAGCTGTGACAGACTAATGCTAGTACAGTGTGTTTTGAGCTGGCTAGTGTGTTAGTGGTTAGCTTGTCAATTAGCTGTGCAATTTGTGCCACTTTCTGGTGTGACTGGCCTTTAAGAGTCTCAATATTCTGTCCTCAGGTCTGGGAAGAGTTCGGTGAGGCCGTGGAGAGGGACTATCGGTTGGCCTCGAAGAAATTCTGGCAAACTGTCCGGTGCCTCAGGAGAGGGAAGCAGTGTCCCGCCAAAACTGTTTACAGTGGAGGAGGGCAGCTGTTGACCTCAACTGGGGACATTGTTGGACAGTGGAAGGAATACTTCGAGGATCTCCTCAACCCCGGCGTCCATTTCTTCCGATGAGGAAGCAGAGGCTGAAGGCTCGGAGGTGGACCTGTTCATCACCCAAGCTGAAGTCACTGAGGTAGTTAAGAAGCTTCTCGGTGGCAAGGCACCGGGGGTGGATGTAATCCGCCCTAAGTACC